CACAGATGAAAGCAGGTTCACACTGAGCACATGTGACAGACGTGACAGAGTCTGGAGACGCCGTGGAGAACGTTCTGCTGCCTGCAACATCCTCCAGCACGACCGGTTTGGCGGTGGGTCAGTCATGGTGTGGGGTGGCATTTCCTTGGGGGGACCGCACAGCCCTCCATGTGCTCGCCAGATGTAGCCTGACTGCCATTAGGTACCGAGATGAGATCCTCAGACCCCTTGTGAGACCATATGCTGGTGCGGTTGGCCCTGGGTTCCTCCTAATGCAAGACAATGCTAGACCTCATGTGGCTGGAGTGTGTCAGCAGTTCCTGCAAGAGGAAGGCATTGATGCTATGGACTGGCCCGCCCGTTCCCCAGACCTGAATCCAATTGAGCACATCTGGGACATCATGTCTCGCTCCATCCACCAACGCCACGTTGCACCACAGACTGTCCAGGAGTTGGCGGATGCTTTAGTCCAGGTCTGGGAGGAGATCCCTCAGGAGACCATCCGCCACCTCATCAGGAGCATGCCCAGGCGTTGTAGGGAGGTCATACAGGCACGTGGAGGCCACACACACTACTGAGCCTCATTTTGACTTGTTTTAAGGACATTACATCAAAGTTGGATCAGCCTGTAGTGTGGTTTTCCACTTTAATTTTGAGGGTGACTCCAAATCCAGACCTCCATGGGTTGATACATTTGATTTCCATTGATAATTTTTGTGTGATTTTGTTGTCAGCACATTCAACTATGTAAAGAAAAAAGTATTTAATAAGATTATTTCATTCATTCAGATCTAGGATGTGTTATTTTAGTGTTCCCTTTATTTTTTTGAGCAGTGTATAATAGTAGATCATCTGCATACAGTAACACTGTGTTCTTCACCAGCTCGGTGGATTCCAGTGAATGATGGTGATAATTTTAAGGCCAAGGAAAGCGGTTCTATCGAGAGAGCAAAAAAGGAGTGGGGACACAGGACACCCTTGACGGGTCCCTCTGGAGAGGGGGAAGTATTTTTGAGTGTTGAGAGTTGATGTGTACGCTGGCCGTAGGAGCAGAATAGAGCAGATGTATCTTGAGATGAAATTGGACCCAAAACCAAATCTTCCCGAAATCTTAAATAAATAATCCCACTCCACCCGGGTCGAAAGCCTTCTCCGCATCAAGACAAACAACCATTTCAAGGTCTGGAGAGACAGAAGGAGAGAGTATAATGTTCAAAAGACGGTGTACATTGGAAAACAGTTGTCGCCCCTTTGATGAAACCCGTTTGATCATCAGATATGACATCCTGAAGGCAGGGTTCCAACCGGCATGCTAGAACCTTAGCTAATAGTTTAACATCAGCGTTCAAAAGTGAAATGGGCCGATATCCACCAAATTCCTACATATTCGTCGCCAAACCCACTGGCTCCAGGTCATCTATAAATCACTGCTAGGCAAATCCCCGTCTTACCTTAGCTCACTGGTCACCATAGCAACACCAACCCGTAGTCTGCGCTCCAGCAGGTATATCTCACTGGTCATCCCCAAAGCCATTCCTTCCAGTTCTCGGCTGCCAATGACTGGAACGAACTGCAAAAATCTCTGAAGCTGGAGACTCTTATCTCCCTCACTAAATTTAACCGTCAGTTGTCAGAGCAGCTTACCGATCACTGCACCTGTACACAGCCCATCTGTAATTAGCCCACCCAACTACCTCATCCCCATATTGTTATATATTTGGCTAATTTGCACCCCAGTATCTCTATTTACACATCATCTTTTGCACATCTATCATTCCAGTGTTAATACGAAATTGTAACTATTTTGTACTATGGCCTATTTATTGCCTTACCTCCATAACTTGCTACATTTGCACACACTGTATATATATTTTCTGTTTGTATTTTTTGACTTTATGTTTTTTTTTACCCCATATGTAACTATGTGTTGTTGTTTTTATCGCACTGCTTTGCTTTATCTTGGCCAGGTCGCAGTTGTAAATGAGAACTTGTTCTCAACTGGCTTCTTACCTGGTTAAATAAAGGTGAAATAAAAATAAATAAATAAAAAATTCCGCCGGATCTTTATCTTTCTTCAATATAAGTGAGATGGCGGCTTGAGTTAGGGCCGGGGGGGGGGGGGAGAGCCCTGTGATAGCGAGTCAGTGAACATATCTAATAGTAATGGGGTGAGTTGATCATCAGGGCCTTGGGGCCTTGCCAATAGTAATGGGGTGAGTTTGATCATCAGGGGCCTTGGGGCCTTGCCAATAGTAATGGGGTGAGTTGATCATCAGAGGCCTTGGGGCCTTGCCAATAGTAATGGGGTGAGTTGATCATCAGGGCCTTGGGGCCTTGCCAATAGTAATGGGGTGAGTTGATCATCAGGGCCTTGGGGCCTTGCCAATAGTAATGGGGTGAGTTGATCATCAGGGCCTTGGGGCCTTGCCAATAGTAATGGGGGTGAGTTGATCATCAGGGGCCTTGGGGCCTTGCCAATAGTAATGGGGTGAGTTGATCATCAGGGCCTTGGGGCCTTGCCAATAGTAATGGGGTGAGTTGATCATCAGGGCCTTGGGGCCTTGCCAATAGGAATGGGGTGAGTTGATCATCAGGGCCTTGGGGCCTTGCCAATAGTAATGGGGTGAGTTGATCATCAGGGCCTTGGGGCCTTGCCAATAGTAATGGGGTGAGTTGATCATCAGGGCCTTGGGGCCTTGCCAATAGTAATGGGGTGAGTTGATCATCAGGGCCTTGGGGCCTTGCCAATAGTAATGGGGTGAGTTGATCATCAGGGCCTTGGGGCCTTGCCAATAGTAATGGGGTGAGTTGATCATCAGGGCCTTGGGGCCTTGCCAATAGTAATGGGGTGATTGATCATCAGGGCCTTGGGGCCTTGCCAATAGTAATGGGTGTGAGTTGATCATCAGGGCCCTTGGGGCCTTGCCAATAGTAATGGGGTGAGTTGATCATCAGGGCCTGGGGCCTTGCCAATAGTAATGGGGTGAGTTGATCATCAGGGCCTTGGGGCCTTGCCAATAGTAATGGGGTGAGTTGATCATCAGGGCCTGGGGCCTTGCCAATAGTAATGGGGTGAGTTGATCATCAGGGCCTGGGGCCTTGCCAATAGTAATGGGGTGAGTTGATCATCAGGACCTGGGGCCTTGCCACTTTGCATTACCTTTAGACCCTCTGTTATCTCATCTAGATGCAGAGGGTTGTCCAGATGTTTACTCGTGTCCATATCAATGGATGGAATATCCAAGTTATCTAAAAAAAAGTTGTCCATAGCCGTATTATCTGATGGGGGGGTTCGGATTTGTAGAGGTTAGAATAAAATGACACAAAAGTTGATTTAATATTAGAGGGATCACTTGTAAGATTACGGGAAGAGTCATATACCTGAGAGATAAGATGAGATACTGACTGGCGTTTAAGAGTCATATACCTGAGAGATAAGATGAGATGCTGACTGGCGTTTAAGAGTCATATACCTGAGAGATAAGATGAGATACTGACTGGCGTTTAAGAGTCATATACCTGAGAGATAAGATGAGATACTGACTGGCGTTTAAGAGTCATATACCTGAGAGATAAGATGAGATGCTGACTGTACATATATATACATATCTACCTCCATCACTCCAGTATCCCTGCACATTGTTAATATGGTATTGGAACTGACCCTGTGTATAGTCCCCTTACCCCTATACATATTTACATTTACATTTTAGTCATTTAGCAGACGCTCTTATCCAGAGCGACTTACAGTTAGTGAATACATTTTTTTTTTTATACTGGCCCCCCGTGGGAATCGAACCCACAACCCTGGCGTTGCAAACGCCATGCTCTATCAACTGAGCTACATCCCTGCCGGCCATTCCCTCCCCTACCCTGGACGACGCTGGGCCAATTGTGCGCCGCCCATGAGTCTCCCGGTCGCGGCCGGCGGCGACAGAGCCTGGATTCGAACCTCTCTAGTGGCACAGTTAGCACTGCGATGCAGTGCCTTAGACCACTGCGCCACTCCGGAGTATACCTCCATCACTCCAGTATCCCTGCACATTGTTAATATGGTACTGGAACTGACCCTGTATATAGTCACCTGACCCCTATACATATCTACCTCTATCACTCCAGTATCCCTGCACATTGTTAATATGGTACTGGAACTGACCCTGTATATAGTCACCTTACCCCTATACATATCTACCTCCATCACTCCAGTATCCCTGCACATTGTTAATATGGTACTGGAACTGACCCTGTATATAGTCACCTGACCCCTATACATATCTACCTCCATCACTCCAGTATCCCTGCACATTGTTAATATGGTACTGGAACTGACCCTGTATATAGTCACCTGACCCCTATACATATCTACCTCCATCACTCCAGTATCCCTGCACATTGTTAATATGGTACTGGAACTGACCCTGTATATAGTCACCTTACCCCTATACATATCTACCTCCATCACTCCAGTATCCCTGCACATTGTTAATATGGTACTGGAACTGACCCTGTATATAGTCACCTGACCCCTATACATATCTACCTCCATCACTCCAGTATCCCTGCACATTGTTAATATAGTATTGGAACTGACCCTGTATATAGCTTACTTATTTATATTTCTCGTGTGTTTTTGTTATACTTTATAGTACTATATATCGATATTGATTACTGCATTGTTGGGAAATGAGCTCGCGAGAAAGGCATCGCGCTGTGGCTTGTGCACGTGACAAGAAAACGTTAAACTTGTCCAAGACCACCACCTAGTGGACAGTTTATTTACTAAACGCTTTCTCAACTGACTGGATCCAGTTTGGCCCTCACGCCGGGCCGTAGGCAAAGCGTCCTGGCAACGGGGAATGGAACTACACAAATATTTAGCAAGCCAGTTATCTCCACAACACAGAACAATACGTTACCGGTTTTATAGTCGAAGTTAAAATATTTTTTTTTATGTTTGATCACTATACTTTTTATATTCTTAAGTTATCGTATGAAGCGGGATGGCTATCAACAACCCATCGGTGTTTCTGTTGATGATAAACGGACAGATAGAGGGGGCGAATGTGAGTAGCGTAGCTAGCTAACGTTAGTAACGCTAGCTATGAAGCTAGCTAGCTAAGCATCTAACGTTAGCAAGCTAAGATGAGTCATTGGTTTTAGTGAGCATAAACATGTTGTTTAAAACTGCCGTGTTCATTTGCTCTTCGACCCATTCTCTCTGATCTGATCTGATGTGTTGTGTTGTGTTGTCAGTTTCCGGAGTATGACGACCTGTACTGTAAATACTGCTTCGTCTACGGACACGACTGGGCTCCCACCTCGGTGAGTCACACCGCGTCATCTGGAACACGCTGAAGTTCAGTTACTATGGATAGATACATAATGCGCTTGTTTTGCTAGCTAGCAACTACTAAATACTCAAATAGTTGCATGTCCAGTGATGCCGGGAACTGCGAACTCGGAAAACTCCGACTTCCGAGCGTTCAAAACAACTGGGAACTCTGGGGAAAAAACTATTTGAACGGTCATCCAACTCGGGAATTCGGGCCTCTTTCTAGAGATCCGACTTTCTGACCTGAAGATCACAGACGTCATGATTTGACCTCGTATTTTTCCGAGTTCCCAGTTGTTTTGAATGAGTCATCAATATCTCTCCCTCACCTCTCCTCCCCCGCTCCCTTTCTCTCTCCACCCATCCTTTTCCCTCCCTCCCTCCTCTCCTCTCTCCCGCTCCATCTCTGTCCTCCTCCCCTCTCCATCTTCTCCTCCCTCCTCTCCCCTCTCCCTCTCCTCACCCCCCCGCCCTTCCTCCCTTCCCTCTCACCCCATTCTTCCCTCCCTCCTCCCCCCCTCTCCCTCTCTCCCCCCTCTCCCTCCCTCTCCTCACCCCCTCCCCTCTCCCTCTCTCCTCCCTCTCCACCCTCTCCCACTCGTTTGGCCTCTCCTCTCCCCTCCTCTCACCCTCTCCACCCCCTCTCCCTCCTCCTCCTCCCCCCCCCTCTCTCCCACCCTCTCCCTCCCCTCTCTCCCCCCCCTCTCCCTACCCCCTCCCTCCTCCCTCCCGACTCCTCTCCCTCCCCTCCCTCCTCCTCTCCCAACCCCTCTCCCTCCTCCTCCTCTCCCATCCTCCCTCTCCAGGGCCTAGAGGAAGGTATATCCCAGATTACGTCTAAAGGCAGAGACTCTCCTCAAAGAATGATCTGGAACTTTCCTCTGGAGATCACCTTCAAGAGCACCAACCCCTTAGGCTGTGAGACACACCCACACACGTCTTACCATACCACACATTTCATGATGCCATAGCTCTAACACTCTTGTGTGTGTGTTCCCAGGGCCTCAGATCGTGGTGAGTGTGTATGGTCCTGATACGTTTGGTAACGATGTGGTCAGAGGATACGGAGCAACACATATCCCCTTCACTCCTGGACAGTCAGTATCTCTCCTCTCTCCATCTCCTTCACAGTCAGTATCTCTCCTCTCTCCATCTCCTTCACTCCTGGACAGTCAGTATCTCTCCTCTCTCCATCCCCTTCACAGTCAGTATCTCTCCTCTCTCCATCTCCTTCACTCCTGGACAGTCAGTATCTCTCCTCTCTCCATCCCCTTCACTCCTGGACAGTCAGTATCTCTCCTCTCTCCATCTCCTTCACTCCTGGACAGTCAGTATCTCTCCATCCCCTTCACTCCTGGACAGTCAGTATCTCTCCTCTCTCCATCTCCTTCACTCCTGGACAGTCAGTATCTCTCCTCTCTCCATCTCCTTCACTCCTGGACAGTCAGTATCTCTCCATCTCCTTCACTCCTGGACAGTCAGTATCTCTCCTCTCTCCATCTCCTTCACTCCTGGACAGTCAGTATCTCTCCTCTCTCCATCTCCTTCACTCCTGGACAGTCAGTATCTCTCCTCTCTCCATCTCCTTCACTCCTGGACAGTCAGTATCTCTCCATCTCCTTCACTCCTGGACAGTCAGTATCTCTCCTCTCTCCATCTCCTTCACTCCTGGACAGTCAGTATCTCTCCATCTCCTTCACTCCTGGACAGTCAGTATCTCTCCTCTCTCCATCTCCTTCACTCCTGGACAGTCAGTATCTCTCCTCTCTCCATCTCCTTCACAGTCAGTATCTCTCCTCTCTCCATCTCCTTCACTCCTGGACAGTCAGTATCTCTCCTCTCTCCATCTCCTTCACTCCTGGACAGTCAGTATCTCTCCATCTCCTTCACTCCTGGACAGTCAGTATCTCTCCTCTCTCCATCTCCTTCACTCCTGGACAGTCAGTATCTCTCCATCTCCTTCACTCCTGGACAGTCAGTATCTCTCCTCTCTCCATCTCCTTCACTCCTGGACAGTCAGTATCTCTCCATCTCCTTCACTCCTGGACAGTCAGTATCTCTCCTCTCTCCATCTCCTTCACTCCTGGACAGTCAGTATCTCTCCTCTCTCCATCTCCTTCACAGTCAGTATCTCTCCTCTCTCCATCCTCTTCACTCCTGGACAGTCAGTATCTCTCCATCTCCTTCACTCCTGGACAGTCAGTATCTCTCCTCTCTCCATCTCCTTCACTCCTGGACAGTCAGTATCTCTCCTCTCTCCATCTCCTTCACTCCTGGACAGTCAGTATCTCTCCTCTCTCCATCTCCTTCACTCCTGGACAGTCAGTATCTCTCCTCTCTCCATCTCCTTCACTCCTGGACAGTCAGTATCTCTCCATCTCCTTCACTCCTGGACAGTCAGTATCTCTCCTCTCTCCATCCCCTTCAGTCAGTATCTCTCCTCTCTCCATCTCCTTCACTCCTGGACAGTCAGTATCTCTCCTCTCTCCATCTCCTTCACTCCTGGACAGTCAGTATCTCTCCATCTCCTTCACTCCTGGACAGTCAGTATCTCTCCTCTCTCCATCTCCTTCACTCCTGGACAGTCAGTATCTCTCCTCTCTCCATCCCCTTCACTCCTGGACAGTCAGTATCTCTCCTCTCTCCATCCCCTCCACTCCTGGACAGTCAGTATCTCTCCTCTCTCCATCTCCTTCACTCCTGGACAGTCAGTATCTCTCCATCCCCTTCACTCCTGGACAGTCAGTATCTCTCCATCTCCTTCACTCCTGGACAGTCAGTATCTCTCCTCTCTCCCTCCCCTCCACTCCTGGACAGTCAGTATCTCTCCTCTCTCCATCTCCTTCACTCCTGGACAGTCAGTATCTCTCCATCTCCTTCACTCCTGGACAGTCAGTATCTCTCCTCTCTCCATCCCCTCCACTCCTGGACAGTCAGTATCTCTCCTCTCTCCATCTCCTTCACTCCTGGACAGTCAGTATCTCTCCATCTCCTTCACTCCTGGACAGTCAGTATCTCTCCATCTCCTTCACTCCTGGACAGTCAGTATCTCTCCTCTCTCCATCTCCTTCACTCCTGGACAGTCAGTATCTCTCCATCTCCTTCACTCCTGGACAGTCAGTATCTCTCCATCTCCTTCACTCCTGGACAGTCAGTATCTCTCCTCTCTCCATCTCCTTCACTCCTGGACAGTCAGTATCTCTCCATCTCCTTCACTCCTGGACAGTCAGTATCTCTCCTCTCTCCATCTCCTTCACTCCTGGACAGTCAGTATCTCTCCTCTCTCCATCTCCTTCACTCCTGGACAGTCAGTATCTCTCCATCTCCTTCACTCCTGGACAGTCAGTATCTCTCCTCTCTCCATCTCCTTCACTCCTGGACAGTCAGTATCTCTCCTCTCTCCATCTCCTTCACTCCTGGACAGTCAGTATCTCTCCTCTCTCCATCTCCTTCACTCCTGGACAGTCAGTATCTCTCCTCTCTCCATCTCCTTCACTCCTGGACAGTCAGTATCTCTCCTCTCTCCATCCCCTTCACTCCTGGACAGTCAGTATCTCTCCTCTCTCCATCTCCTTCACTCCTGGACAGTCAGTATCTCTCCTCTCTCCATCTCCTTCACTCCTGGACAGTCAGTATCTCTCCTCTCTCCATCTCCTTCACTCCTGGACAGTCAATATCTCTCCATCTCCTTCACTCCTGGACAGTCAGTATCTCTCCATCTCCTTCACTCCTGGACAGTCAGTATCTCTCCATCTCCTCTAATGTAATCTCTTGTTTTCAGACACACCAGAACCATCCCGATGTTTGTTCCTGAATCCACATCAAGACTACAGAAATTCACAAGGTAACGTGTTTGTGTTGCTGTGTGTCTGTTGCTGTGTGTCTGTTGCTGTGTGTCTGTTGCTGTGTGTCTGTTGCTGTGTGTCTGTTGCTGTGTGTTGCTGTGTGTCTGTTATAGTGTGTCTGTTGCTGTGTGTCTGTTATAGTGTGTCTGTTATAGTGTGTCTGTTGCTGTGTGTCTGTTGCTGTGTGTCTGTTGCTGTGTGTCTGTTGCTGTGTGTCTGTCGCTGTGTGTCTGTTGCTGTGTGTCTGTTGCTGTGTGTCTGTTGATATGTGTCTGTTGCTGTGTGTCTGTTGCTGTGTGTCTGTTGATATGTGTCTGTTGCTGTGTGTCTGTTACTGTGTGTCTGTTGATATGTGTCTGTTGCTGTGTGTCTGTTGCTGTGTGTTGCTGTGTGTCTGTTGCTGTGTGTTGCTGTGTGTCTGTTGCTGTGTGTCTGTTGCTGTGTGTGTGTGTGTAACTGTTGTGGTGTGTCTGTTGATGTGTGTCTGTTGCCGGTTGTCTGTTACTGTGTGTATTGTGTTAAATGCTGGGTGCTAAGTGTGTCTGTGTTCTCTCTCCAGTTGGCTGCTGGGTCGGCGTCCAGAGTTCACTGATCCTAAAGTGGTGGCCCAGGGAGAGGGCAGAGAAGGTAGGCTGTGTTTCTGTGTGTTTGGGAGAGGGCAGAGAAGGTAGGCTGTGTTTCTGTGGTGGCCCAGGGAGAGGGCAGAGAAGGTAGGCTGTGTTTCTGTGGTGGCCCAGGGAGAGGGCAGAGAAGGTAGGCTGTGTTTCTGTGTGTTTGGGAGAGGGCAGAGAAGGTAGGCTGTGTTTCTGTGGTGGCCCAGGGAGAGGGCAGAGAAGGTAGGCTGTGTTTCTGTGGTGGCCCAGGGAGAGGGCAGAGAAGGTAGGCTGTGTTTCTGTGGTGGCCCAGGGAGAGGGCAGAGAAGGTAGGCTGTGTTTCTGTGTGTTTGGGAGATTTCTGCCGGGATTCATTCAAAAGGGTGTGTTGCTTCTCACTGCACTTCCAACAATGCTTCGATTTCCCTCAACGTTCATAGATCCCATTCATGGTCACCGCTGCACACGTCGGCAGGAGCATAAACCCCTTTATAAAGCACATTGGAATGGTGGTACTGCCTTTAAATGGATCCTGGCCTTAGATATCCTGGAGACTTCTCTCTCTATCTCTCACTGCCATATCTCTCACTACCATATCTCTCACTGACATATCTCTCTCTCACCGCCATATCTCTCTCTCACCACCATATCTCTCTCTCACCACCATATCTCTCTCACTACCATATCTCTCACCACCATCTCTCTCTCTCACTACCATATCTCTCTCTCTCACTACCATATCTCTCTCTCTCACTACCATATCTCTCTCTCTCACTACCATATCTCTCTCTCTCACTACCATCTCTCTCTCTCACTACCATCTCTCTCTCTCACTACCATATCTCTCTCACTACCATATCTCTCTCTTTCTCTCAGTGACCAGGGTTCGTTCTCAGGGTTTCGTTTCTCTCTCCTTCAACATCGTGACTAAAGACATGAAGAGACTGGGTTATGACACCACGCCTACCGAGACCGCCCACACACACACTGCTGCCGCAGGCGTCGGACCGGGAGACCAGCCGTACAGCACGTGACGGACACACAGACACACTGCTGCCGCCGGCGTCGGACCGGGAGACCAGCCGTACAGCACGTGACGGACACACAAACACACTGCTGCCGCAGGCGTCGGACCGGGAGACCAGCCGTACAGCACGTGACGGACACACAGACACACACGGACCCAGACTACCCGATCTCCCTCCCTCACCCCTGTGTGTGGTCCCATCATCAGGAGCAGCTGGATACTGTAGGTGTTAGAGATACGGTGATGTCTGGGCTCCAGCCTGGAGGAACAGGGAAGCTTCTACCATATAGATTCCACCTATCCAGATACTGTTATACAGGGAAGCTTCTAGCATATAGATTCCACCTATCCAGATACTGTTATACAGGGAAGCTTCTAGCATATAGATTCCACCTATCCAGATACTGTTATACAGGGAAGCTTCTAGCATATAGATTCCACCTATCCAGATACTGTTATACAGGGAGCTTCCACCATTTTGATTCCACCTATCCAGATACTGTTATACAGGGAGCTTCCACCATATAGATTCCACCTATCCAGATACTGTTATACAGGGGAGCTTCCACCATATAGATTCCACCTATCCAGATACTGTTATACAGGGAAGCTTCCACCATATAGATTCCACCTATCCAGATACTGTTATACAGGGAAGCTTCCACCATATAGATTCCACCTATCCAGATACTGTTATACAGGGGAGCTTCTACCATATAGATTCCACCTATCCAGATACTGTTATACAGGGGAGCTTCCACCATATAGATTCCACCTATCCAGATACTGTTATACAGGGAAGCTTCCACCATATAGATTCCACCTATCCAGATACTGTTATACAGGGAAGCTTCTACCATATAGATTCCACCTATCCAGATACTGTTATACAGGGAAGCTTCTACCATATAGATTCCACCTATCCAGATACTGTTATACAGGGAAGCTTCTACCATATAGATTCCACCTATCCAGATACTGTTATACAGGGAAGCTTCCACCATATAGATTCCACCTATCCAGATACTGTTATACAGGGAAGCTTCCACCATATAGATTCCACCTATCCAGATACTGTTATACAGGGAAGCTTCCACCTATCCAGATACTGTTATACAGGGAAGCTTCCACCATATAGATTCCACCTATCCAGATACTGTCATACAGGGGAGCTTCCACCATATATATTCCACCTATCCAGATACTGTTATACAGGGGAGCTTCCACCATATAGATTCCACCTATCCAGATACTGTTATACAGGGAAGCTTCTACCATATAGATTCCACCTATCCAGATACTGTCGTACAGATTGGTGGAGAGAGGACCACCCCACCCTGAGAGAGGGACCCCCCACCCCACCCCACACCACACTTTATTTGAATAGTCTGGATTTTGATGGTCATACGATCAACAAACTATCTGTCGATAAGCAACTGCTTATGGTAAGGGTTAAGGTCAGGATAAGGGTTGCCGTTAGATTAGATGAAATGTTACTGATCTACAGATGGACTATCCAAATAAATTGTTACTGAAATCCCATGGAGCCTTGTTTACAAATTCAGATGTAATCTCCACCTTGATTAGGCTGTTTGAAAACCTCATTTTGAGCGTCATTACTTCTATATATATTTTATTTTTTTCTTTATTTAACCGTTATTCCAATTTGTAAGTCGCTCTGGATAAGAGCGTCTGCTAAATGATGTAAATGTAAATAGGCAAGTCAGTTGAGAACAAATTCTTATTTACAGTGACGGCCTACAACCGGCCAAACCCGGACGACGCTGGGACGATTGTGCCCCGCCACCTTTCTCCTTCTGAACTTCTTAAAACGCTAGCGGGATGGGTGTGGCTCCATGACAACGATCACAAGGGGCAGCTGATCCAACGCGATTGGACAGCTCCAACAACGCATAAAAAACCATCAGCTATGCAGTGTGTCGGCTACCGGCGGTTAAAGCTTTGATCTGATACTCGACTGCCTGGAATTCAATGTGTTCTGTGTTGTATTGTGACCGATAATAAAATGTGTACGTGTATTCATAGTAAAGGTGTAGTCCGCGTCTCTCTACCTCTGTTGGTGTTAGATTAATTTGGATTTTAAGAATAATGACTAAAGGATTTCACCCCAAACACAGTATAAATGTTAGAATTATCATGTAGTGTCAACCCACTAACAGAAGGGGGCGGGTACTAAACATTCAAGGGGGAAGGCGGAAACTGTTTAAGGAAGCCACCTAAAGGTGGGAGGAGTCAAGTTCAGGAGATATAAAATCGTATGTTTGTGTTTTTGGCGTCAGAGCTCTCTCCATGAATAAATATACAGATCATACTTGTGGGTTGTGGACCTTGAATCATTGATGATTAAAACCAGAGCCTTACAACCTCTGGTAATGATTCAAGCTTAGGTTGAATTAGAGATAGAAATTCACATGACAGTTGACTCGCTGTATTACAGTATAAAAACGTGAGAGTTGATGTCATTAAATAGTTCACTGACCGTAAGCAAAACATTTTTTGGCCCGTTGCAAAAACCATTTACTCTAGAAACTAAAAATGGAACGGTGCAAACGAAAACGGGGGGGCGGGAACCTACCTGAATTTGTCCAATGGAAACTCGTTGTTTTCGTTGCAAAACGTTTGCGAAATATTTAGCGACTAATGAATACGCCCATGGCTGTACTGTGCTTTTCCAGCTGCGCAGCGGTAACACACACACACAAACTGGTCTCTTGCAGCGATTCGGTCGGGGATAAATGGCAACTCCGTGACTGAGGGCAGTGACCGTAACCTTTTGCGGTCTGGAGAACGTCAGGTTCACTACAGTATATAGTGTAGTCTCCCGAGTGGCGCTGTGGTCTAAGGCGCTTCATCGCAGAGTGCTAGCTGTGCCACTAGAGATCCTGGTTCGAATCCAGGCTCTGTCGTAGCCGGCCGCGACCGGGAGACCCCATGGGTCGGCACACAATTGGTCCAGGGTAGGGGAGGGAATGGCCGGCAGGGATGTAGCTCAGTTGGTAGAGCATGGCGTTTGCAACGCCAGGGTTGTGGGTTCGATTCCCACAGGGGGGCCAGTATAAACAAAAATAATGTATGCACTCACTAACTGTAAGTCGCTCTGGATAAGAGCGTCTGCTAAATGACTGAAATGTAAATGTATATCACACACACACACACACAGGGAGGCGTCAGTGCTGAAGGTGATCCATTTTATTGGCCCATAGCAGCTCCAGGTGAAGCTGGTGTGCCGCGGTTTAGAATGGTGTTAAAAAATACCACACTGGTCCCGTGCTCCTACAAAACCCAGGAACGAATGACAGAATAAAAAGGACAATTATGTTACAATAGTACAAATGATATAAATTATATTACAGTTATAATGCCAACCGGGTTAGCGCACCATTCAGACACAAGCAGCCTGCTCCCAGACATATGAAAGTGTAAATAGAACATTGGAATAACAGCAACATGGGGACATTATCAGAAAGGAATCGGTGTCATAATGTTGTCTGTGAAAGCCTAGTAACGACACACTGACAGAGCTACATATCATAGCGGCAAAGAAGAAGACCTGGCAAAACTAGGTTTTCAGCACTAAACACAGAATGAAGCATTGTGGGAAAAAAATGTATCCATTTTTGCAGAGGATCAGTCAGGACCCCAAACAAACACCCCCAGGTTCTGAGCTGCCCCTCCCTGTGCCTGAGTAGAAAGGGTCCTGTGGTCTCAGCTGTAATACCAGTCCAGTCCAGGGGAGGGCGCTAGGTAGAAAGGGTCCTGTGGTCTCAGCTGTAATACCAGTCCAGTCCAGGGGAGGGCGCTAGGTAGAAAGGGTCCTGTGGTCTCAGCTGTAATACCAGTCCAGGGGAGGGCGCTAGGTAGAAAGGGTCCTGTGGTCTCAGCTGTAATACCAGTCCAGTCCAGGGGAGGGCGCTAGGTAGAAAGGGTCCTGTGGTCTCAGCTGTAATACCAGTCCAGTCCAGGGGAGGGCGCTAGGTAGAAAGGGTCCTGTGGTCTCAGCTGTAATACCAGTCCAGTCCAGGGGAGGGCGCTAGGTAGAAAGGGTCCTGTGGTCTCAGCTGTAATACCAGTCCAGTCCAGGGGAGGGCGCTAGGTAGAAAGGGTCCTGTGGTCTCCGCTGTAATACCAGTCCAGTCCAGGGGAGGGCGCTAGCTCACTACTATTACCACTACACACTCCTTCCTCCACACAGTAACATTGGCAGTGATTTGAACAAACAAATGGTAGAGGAAGTGTTCAACTGAAGGAGTATCTATTCTACATGGTAGGACGGTAACAGTCTATATGGTAGGATGGGAACAGTCTATATGGTAGGACGGTAACAGTCTATATGGTAGGATGGGAACAGTCTGATAGTACAGTCTATATGGTAGGATGGGAACAGTCTATATGGTAGGATGGTAACAGTCTGATGGTACAGTCTACATGGTAGGATGGGAACAGTCTATATGGTAGGATGGTAGAGAGAGAGAGAGAGAGAGAGAGAGAGAGGACAGACAGAAAGAGGTGCTACATGGTCTAGCTTGTAAACGGTCCAGAAACACGTTACTATGGATTTCCATCTAAGAGTAAATAAAACAGTCATAAACAACAACAGTTTGTATGTTCAGGTGTCCTGCTGTCCATGTGTGGCTCCCTGTTGGGTTTTAGTCAGGTGGTGCGTGTTAATGATCTTGCAGGTAGATTACTGTTAATCCAATTGTGGCCAAATCTGTCCCATCCACACTGTTGATAGTTCGCTACAGACAGCTGATATGAACAGTGATTACAGAGTAATAATAATAATAATAATAATATACAGATGATTATGACAGTGAGATAAAGACCTGCCCGTTAACTACAGGCCTGGAGTCAGATGTTAACTCCTGTCTCATCCCCCCCCCCCTCACTGCCCGTTAACTACAGGCCTGGAGTCAGATGTTAACTCCTGTCTCATACTAACACTGCCCGTTAACATCTGACTCCAGGGCTGTAGTTAACTCCTGTCTCATACTAACACTGCCCGTTAACTACAGGCCTGGAGTCAGATGTTAACTCCTGTCTCATCCCCTCACTGCCTGTTAACTACAGGCCTGGAGTCAGATGTTAACTCCTGTCTCATACTAAACACTGCCCGTTAACATCTGACTCCAGGACTGTAGTTAACTCCTGTCTCATACTAACACTGCCCGTTAACTACAGGCCTGGAGTCAGATGTTAACTCCTGTCTCTAGTGGTGGAGGTTAGGGGTTGAGGCCAGGGAAATCTGATCCTAGATATACACAGGTTCTACCTTAACCTCCCGGTTTTCCTTTGAACCCCACCCTGGACTACATTACCCACAACACCCCACAGCCAGCCAACCCAAATGCCAGGAGAGGGGGTGCAGATATCACCGTGACACCATGGCTGGTCACAGCCAGAGATCAGATATCACCGTGACACCATGGCTGGTCACAGCCAGAGATCTCTCTCTCTCTCTCTATATATATATATATATGGCTGATCTAGGCTGGATGCAGGCTGGGCAGTGGAACACTGTGTTCATACTATTGACTAACCGATGTCACATCTGAACATGGTGTCGTTTGTCTCTGGCGTTTTGTCACAAAAATCTTCTTTGTAATCCTTGACTTTTCTACTGTGAATGTTGTCATCTCCTGATTTTTGTACTACTTGACATTGTGTAATTGGGTACACAGAGTGACAAGTAATACTTTTGACCAGTAAGTGCACACTACCTAGGGAACAGGGTGCCATTTGGGACGTAACTAGGTCTCTGTGTAGGGATCTACAGCCCACCCCGTCTCCTGGCAACACAAGAACTACACCCCCGTATCCTGGCAACACAAGAACTACAGCCAGTTGTAGAATAACAGACATCCTTTAGTGTACGGAAACAAATCCCCTCGTGTCTTTCACTCCCAAATAAACACAGTCTCCTCTTCTCCTCTGGGATATAAGTTCATCCACCTGTTCATATATACGTTGACCTCAGGGTTAAAGTTCACATATACGTTGATCTGCAGGGGTGAAAATTCATACGTTGACCTGCAGGGGTGAAAATTCATACGTTGATCTGCAGGGGTGAAAATTCATACGTTGACCTGCAGGGGTGAAAATTCATACGTTGACCTGCAGGGGTGAAAATTCATACGTTGATCTGCAGGGGTGAAAATTCATACGTTGCTGTGTGTCAGGGTCAAAGGTCAGGGGCTAGGGTCCTAAGCAGTGACCTCACAAGTCGTGGCCGGTAACGGGTAACGGAGTGTGCTCCCGGGCAGTGCAGTGTCCGGTGTCTCTCTCTCCAGCTAAGGACTAACGGTGAAGCAACAGTCATAGCTAATTGAGCATGTGCAAAATCCCTGCTTAGTACACACACACACACACACACACACACACACACACACACACACACACACACACACACACACAGCTCACTGGGGTTCTACACGTTGAGTTAGTCTCTGATCATGGATTCACTCTATCGTCAAAACAGTCAGAACACCCTGGAATACGAGACCTATCGGACACACACCTTATCTGGGCTGAGAGTGGAAGAGAAGGGAGTGTTGGAGAGAGAGGAGGGAGAGGAGGAGAGGGTGAGGAGAGGGAGATGAGGAGGAGAGGGAGAGGAGAGGGTGAGGAGGAGGAGAGGGAGAGGAGGAGGAGAGGGTGAGGAGAGGAGAGGGTGAGGAGAGGAGGAGGAGAGAAGTATGGAGAGGGGTGTGGAGAGGGAGATGAGGAGGAGAGGGAGAGGAGAGGGGGAGGAGAGGGTGAGGAGAGGAGGAGGAGAGGAGAGAAGTATGGAGAGGGGTGTGGAGAGGAGGCTGGAGAGGATTCTGGGGGTGTTGTCTTGAAGGGGGTGGTCGTAGTTGAGGTGTTCCTCACAACAGGAAGGGGTTGGTGGTTCCGGGGGGCTGTGTGCCCGCTGTGGTGGGCAGGGCTGAGCTGAGGAGGGGCTGGGGCATAGACATAGAGGCTGGGATACTCCCCATCCCTCCAACGCCGGGCACCACGTGGCCCAGGGGGACCAGGGAGGAGAGGGGCAGAGGGTCTGCCATAGAGGACACGCTGCTGAACCCTGCTACTCCCCCCAGACCCTGGCCTGGCATAGGGCTGACCCTCATCTGGTTCAGGGTAGGGGGGGTGGGCTGGCCCATCTGGAACGGGTTGGCCTGGGGGGCTGCTACAGGGGCTGCTCCTAAGGAGACACGGGAGAGACAAACAGAACAGAGAGAAGACATCAGCATTAGCAAACGCCAGAGAGAGAGAGAACATAGATTGTATTCAAACTCAACAAGTTTCAACACCTGTCTCTGTTGAATTCAAACTCGGTCCTGGGACCCCAAGGGTTTTTGCCCGAGCACTACACAGTTGATTCAAATAACCAACATCTTCATCAAGCTTTGATTATTTGAATCCACTGTGTTAGGGCAAAAACCAAAAAAGGTGCACCCCTTGGGGGTGGCCCCAGGACCGAGTTTGGGAAACGCTGGAGTACCGTCTGTCCTGTACCGTGTGTGCATCCTGTCTGTACCTGCAGCAGGTCTGTCCTGTACCGTGTGTGCATCCTGTCTGTACCTGCAGCAGGTCTGTCCTGTACCGTGTGTGCATCCTGTCTGTACCTGCAGCAGGTCTGTCCTGTACCGTGTGTGCATCCTGTCTGTACCTGCAGCAGGTCTGTCCTGTACCGTGTGTGCATCCTGTCTGTACCTGCAGCAGGTCTGTCCTGTACCGTGTGTGCATCCTGTCTGTACCTGCAGCAGGTCTGTCCTGTACCGTGTGTGCATCCTGTCTGTACCTGCGGCAGGTCTGTCCTGTACCGTGTGTGCATCCTGTCTGTACCTGCGGCAGGTCTGTCCTGTACCGTGTGTGCATCCTGTCTGTACCTGCAGAAGGTCTGTCCTGTACCGTGTGTGCATCCTGTCTGTACCTGCAGCAGGTCTGTCCTGTACCGTGTGTGTTTATCCTGTCTGTACCTGCAGCAGGTCTGTCCTGTACCGTGTGTGCATCCTGTCTGTACCTGCAGCAGGTCTGTCCTGTACCGTGTGTGCATCCTGTCTGTACCTGCGGCAGGTCTGTCCTGTACCGTGTGTGCATCCTGTACCGGCAGGTCTGTCCTGTACCGTGTGTGCATCCTGTCTGTACCTGCGGCAGGTCTGTCCTGTACCGTGTGTGCATCCTGTCTGTACCTGCAGCAGGTCTGTCCTGTACCGTGTGTGGCATCCTGTCTGTACCTGCAGCAGGTCTGTCCTGTACCTGTGTGTGCATCCTGTCTGTACCTGCAGCAGGTCTGTCCTGTACTGTGTGTGCATCCTGTCTGTACCTGCAGCAGGTCTGTCCTTTACCGTGTGTGCATCCTGTCTGTACCTGCAGCAGGTCTGTCCTGTACCGTGTGTGCATCCTGTCTGTACCTGCAGCAGGTCTGTCCTGTACCGTGTGTGCATCCTGTCTGTACCTGCAGCAGGTCTGTCCTGTACCGTGTGTGCATCCTGTCTGTACCTGCAGCAGGTCTGTCCTGTACCGTGTGTGCATCCTGTCTGTACCTGCAGCAGGTCTGTCCTGTACAGTGTGTGCATCCTGTCTGTACCTGCAGCAGGTCTGTCCTGTACCGTGTGTGCATCCTGTCTGTACCTGCAGCAGGTCTGTCCTGTACCGTGTGTGCATCCTGTCTGTACCTGCAGCAGGTCTGTCCTGTACCGTGTGTGCATCCTGTCTGTACCTGCAGCAGGTCTGTCCTGTACCGTGTGTGCATCCTGTCTGTACCTGCGGCAGCGAGGAAGGGGTTGACAACAGGAGCAGGCTGGGGAGGCTTGGTGACCAGTGAGTCCAGGTTGACCAGTGCTGCATTAGGACCCAGGAAGGACTCTGGGGTCTTCCTGCTGGAGCCGCTGGGGAGAGGGTCAAACGGGTCCCCAGTACCACTAGTCAGGGAGGAGAGACCCCGACCGTCACCTGGAGGATTACAGAGAGAGAGAGAGACAGGTTACCACTAGCTGACTCCACGGTTAAAGAGGATTACAGAGAGAGAGAGACAGGTTACCTCTAGCTGACTCCACGGTTAAGGGGGATTACAGAGAGAGAGAGACAGGTTACCTCTAGCTGACTCCACGGTTAAGGGGGATTACAGAGAGAGAGAGAGACAGGTTACCTCTAGCTGACTCCACGGTTAAGGAGGATTACAGAGAGAGAGACAGATTACCTCTAGCTGACTCCACGGTTAAGGAGGATTACAGAGAGAGAGAGACAGGTTACCTCTAGCTGACTCCACGGTTAAGGGGGATTACAGAGAGAGAGAGACAGGTTACCACTAGCTGACTCCACGGTTAAGGAGGATTACAGAGAGAGAGACAGGTTACCTCTAGCTGACTCCACGGTTAAGGAGGATTACAGAGAGAGAGACAGGTTACCTCTAGCTGACTCCACGGTTAAGGAGGATTACAGAGAGAGAGAGACAGGTTACCTCTAGCTGACTCCACGGTTAAGGAGGATTACAGAGAGAGAGACAGGTTACCTCTAGCTGACTCCACGGTTAAGGAGGATTACAGAGAGAGAGAGACAGGTTACCTCTAGCTGACTCCACGGTTAAGGAGGATTACAGAGAGAGAGAGACAGGTTACCACTAGCTGACTCCACAGTTAAGGAGGATTACAGAGAGAGAGAGACAGGTTACCACTAGCTGACTCCACGGTTAAGGGGGATTACAGAGAGAGAGACAGGTTACCTCTAGCTGACTCCACGGTTAAGGGGGATTACAGAGAGAGAGAGACAGGTTACCACTAGCTGACTCCACGGTTAAGGAGGATTACAGAGAGAGAGAGACAGGTTACCACTAGCTGACTCCACGGTTAAGGGGGATTACAGAGAGAGAGACAGGTTACCACTAGCTGACTCCACGGTTAAGGAGGATTACAGAGAGAGAGACAGGTTACCACTAGCTGACTCCACGGTTAAGGAGGATTACAGAGAGAGAGACAGGTTACCACTAGCTGACTCCACGGTTAAGGAGGATTACAGAGAGAGAGAGACAGGTTACCACTAGCTGACTCCACGGTTAAGGGGGATTACAGAGAGAGAGAGACAGGTTACCACTAGCTGACTCCACGGTTAAGGAGGATTACAGAGAGAGAGACAGGTTACCACTAGTTGACTCCACGGTTAAGGAGGATTACAGAGAGAGAGAGACAGATTACCTCTAGCTGACTCCACGGTTAAGGGGATTACAGAGAGAGAGAGACAGGTTACCTCTAGCTGACTCCACGGTTAAGGGGGATTACAGAGAGAGAGACAGGTTACCTCTAGCTGACTCCACGGTTAAGGAGGATTACAGAGAGAGAGACAGGTTACCACTAGCTGACTCCACGGTTAAGGAGGATTACAGAGAGAGAGAGACAGGTTACCACTAGCTGACTCCACGGTTAAAGAGGATTACAGAGAGAGAGACAGGTTACCACTAGCTGACTCCACGGTTAAGGAGGACTACAGAGAGAGAGAGACAGGTTACCACTAGCTGACTCCACGGTTAAGGGGGATTACAGAGAGAGAGACAGGTTACCACTAGCTGACTCCACGGTTAAGGAGGATTACAGAGAGAGAGACAGGTTACCACTAGCTGACTCCACGGTTAAGGAGGATTACAGAGAGAGAGAGACAGATTACCTCTAGCTGACTCCACGGTTAAGGGGGATTACAGAGAGAGAGACAGGTTACCTCTAGCTGACTCCACGGTTAAGGAGGATTACAGAGAGAGAGACAGGTTACCTCTATCTGACTCCACGGTTAAGGGGGATTACAGAGAGAGAGACAGGTTACCTCTAGCTGACTCCACGGTTAAGGGGGATTACAGAGAGAGAGACAGGTTACCACTAGCTGACTCCACGGTTAAGGGGGATTACAGAGAGAGAGACAGGTTACCACTAGCTGACTCCACGGTTAAGGAGGATTACAGAGAGAGAGATTACCTCTAGCTGACTCCACGGTTAAGGAGGATTACAGAGAGAGAGACAGGTTACCACTAGCTGACTCCGCGGTTAAGGAGGATTACAGAGAGAGAGAGACAGGTTACCACTAGCTGACTCCACGGTTAAGGGGGATTACAGAGAGAGAGAGAGACAGATTACCTCTAGCTGACTCCACGGTTAAGGAGGATTACAGAGAGAGAGACAGGTTACCTCTAGCTGACTCCACGGTTAAGGAGGATTACAGAGAGAGAGACAGGTTACCTCTAGCTGACTCCACGGTTAAGGAGGATTACAGAGAGAGAGACAGGTTACCACTAGCTGACTCCACGGTTAAGGAGGATTACAGAGAGAGAGACAGGTTACCACTAGCTGACTCCACGGTTAAGGAGGATTACAGAGAGAGAGACAGGTTACCACTAGCTGACTCCACGGTTAAGGAGGATTACAGAGAGAGAGAGACAGGTTACCACTAGCTGACTCCACGGTTAAGGGGGATTACAGAGAGAGAGACAGGTTACCTCTATCTGACTCCACGGTTAAGGGGGATTACAGAGAGAGAGACAGGTTACCTCTAGCTGACTCCACGGTTAAGGGGGATTACAGAGAGAGAGAGACAGGTTACCTCTAGCTGACTCCACGGTTAAGGGGGATTACAGAGAGAGAGACAGGTTACCTCTAGCTGACTCCACGGTTAAGGGGGATTACAGAGAGAGAGAGACAGGTTACCACTAGCTGACTCCACGGTTAAGGAGGATTACAGAGAGAGAGACAGGTTACCACTAGCTGACTCCACGGTTAAGGAGGATTACAGAGAGAGAGAGACAGGTTACCACTAGCTGACTCCACGGTTAAGGGGGATTACAGAGAGAGAGACAGGTTACCACTAGCTGACTCCACGGTTAAGGAGGATTACAGAGAGAGAGACAGGTTACCACTAGCTGACTCCACGGTTAAGGAGGATTACAGAGAGAGAGAGACAGATTACCTCTAGCTGACTCCACGGTTAAGGGGGATTACAGAGAGAGAGACAGGTTACCTCTAGCTGACTCCACGGTTAAGGAGGATTACAGAGAGAGAGACAGGTTACCTCTATCTGACTCCACGGTTAAGGGGGATTACAGAGAGAGAGACAGGTTACCTCTAGCTGACTCCACGGTTAAGGGGGATTACAGAGAGAGAGACAGGTTACCACTAGCTGACTCCACGGTTAAGGGGGATTACAGAGAGAGAGACAGGTTACCACTAGCTGACTCCACGGTTAAGGAGGATTACAGAGAGAGAGATTACCTCTAGCTGACTCCACGGTTAAGGAGGATTACAGAGAGAGAGACAGGTTACCACTAGCTGACTCCACGGTTAAGGAGGATTACAGAGAGAGAGAGACAGGTTACCACTAGCTGACTCCACGGTTAAGGAGGATTACAGAGAGAGAGACAGGTTACCTCTAGCTGACTCCACGGTTAAGGGGGATTACAGAGAGAGAGACAGGTTACCTCTAGCTGACTCCACGGTTAAGGGGGATTACAGAGAGAGAGAGACAGGTTACCTCTAGCTGACTCCACGGTTAAGGGGGATTACAGAGAGAGAGAGACAGGTTACCTCTAGCTGACTCCACGGTTAAGGGGGATTACAGAGAGAGAGACAGGTTACCACTAGCTGACTCCACGGTTAAGGGGGATTACAGAGAGAGAGAGAGACAGATTACCTCTAGCTGACTCCACGGTTAAGGAGGATTACAGAGAGAGAGACAGGTTACCTCTAGCTGACTCCACGGTTAAGGAGGATTACAGAGAGAGAGAGACAGGTTACCACTAGCTGACTCCACGGTTAAGGGGGATTACAGAGAGAGAGACAGGTTACCACTAGCTGACTCCACGGTTAAGGGGGATTACAGAGAGAGAGAGAGACAGATTACCTCTAGCTGACTCCACGGTTAAGGAGGATTACAGAGAGAGAGAGACGGGTTACCACTAGCTGACTCCACGGTTAAGGAGGATTACAGAGAGAGAGACAGGTTACCACTAGCTGACTCCACGGTTAAGGAGGATTACAGAGAGAGAGACAGATTACCACTAGCTGACTCCACGGTTAAGGAGGATTACAGAGAGAGAGACAGGTTACCACTAGCTGACTCCACGGTTAAGGAGGATTACAGAGAGAGAGAGACAGGTTACCTCTAGCTGACTCCACGGTTAAGGAGGATTACAGAGAGAGAGACAGGTTACCTCTAGCTGACTCCACGGTTAAGGAGGATTACAGAGAGAGAGACAGGTTACCTCTAGCTGACTCCACGGTTAAGGGGGATTACAGAGAGAGAGACAGGTTACCTCTAGCTGACTCCACGGTTAAGGAGGATTACAGAGAGAGAGAGACAGGTTACCACTAGCTGACTCCACGGTTAAGGAGGATTACAGAGAGAGAGACAGGTTACCTCTAGCTGACTCCACGGTTAAGGAGGATTACAGAGAGAGAGACAGATTACCTCTAGCTGACTCCACGGTTAAGGAGGATTACAGAGAGAGAGAGACAGGTTACCTCTAGCTGACTCCACGGTTAAGGAGGATTACAGAGAGAGAGACAGGTTACCACTAGCTGACTCCACGGTTAAGGGGGATTACAGAGAGAGAGACAGGTTACCTCTAGCTGACTCCACGGTTAAGGAGGATTACAGAGAGAGAGAGAGACAGGTTACCACTAGCTGACTCCACGGTTAAGGAGGATTACAGAGAGAGAGACAGGTTACCACTAGCTGACTCCACGGTTAAGGAGGATTACAGAGAGAGAGATTACCTCTAGCTGACTCCACGGTTAAGGAGGATTACAGAGAGAGAGACAGGTTACCTCTAGCTGACTCCACGGTTAAAGGGGATTACAGAGAGAGAGACAGGTTACCTCTAGCTGACTCCACGGTTAAGGGGGATTACAGAGAGAGAGACAGATTACCTCTAGCTGACTCCACGGTTAAGGAGGATTACAGAGAGAGAGAGACAGGTTACCTCTAGCTGACGCCACGGTTAAGGAGGATTACAGAGAGAGAGACAGATTACCTCTAGCTGACTCCACGGTTAAGGGGGATTACAGAGAGAGAGAGACAGGTTACCACTAGCTGACTCCACGGTTAAGGAGGATTACAGAGAGAGAGACAGGTTACCACTAGCTGACTCCACGGTTAAGGAGGATTACAGAGAGAGAGACAGATTACCACTAGCTGACTCCACGGTTAAGGAGGATTACAGAGAGAGAGAGACAGGTTACCACTAGCTGACTCCACGGTTAAGGAGGATTACAGAGAGAGAGACAGGTTACCTCTAGCTGACTCCACGGTTAAGGAGGATTACAGAGAGAGAGACAGGTTACCACTAGCTGACTCCACGGTTAAGGAGGATTACAGAGAGAGAGACAGGTTACCACTAGCTGACTCCACGGTTAAGGAGGATTACAGAGAGAGAGACAGGTTACCTCTAGCTGACTCCACGGTTAAGGAGGATTACAGAGAGAGAGAGACAGGTTACCTCTAGCTGACTCCACGGTTAAGGGGGATTACAGAGAGAGAGAGACAGGTTACCACTAGCTGACTCCACGGTTAAGGAGGATTACAGAGAGAGAGAGACAGGTTACCACTAGCTGACTCCACGGTTAAGGGGGATTACAGAGAGAGAGACAGGTTACCACTAGCTGACTCCACGGTTAACGCCTCAACTTCTACTCAATCTTTGTTTTCATTTCAACAACGTTCTCCTTGTGATGTGCTAGATGCCTTGCTTAAGATTGATGTAAACAAATCCCCTTTATCCACTTGGCCTGATATGCTTGATCCCCTTTGTCCGCAGCTCTCTGCCCCTGACGGCTGAATCATTAACCCAGATGTTTTACCTGACAATTATACAGTGCCTTCAGAAAGTATTCATACCCCCTTGACTTATTCTACATTTTGTTGTTACAGCCTGAATTCAAAATTGATTTTTTTTTAAATAACAAAAAAAAAAAAATCACCCATCTACACACAACGCCCCATAATGACAAAGTGAAAACATGTTTTTAGAAATTTTTGCAAATTCATTGAAAATGAAATACCGAATCTCATTTACATTAAGTATTCAACCCTGTGAGTTAATACATGTTAGAATCCCCTTTGGCAGTGATTACAGCTGTGAGTCTTTCTGGGTAAGTCTCTAAGAGCTTTACACACCTGGATTGTACAACAATTCTTCAAGTTCTGTCAAATTGGTTGTTGATCATTGCTAGACAACCATTTTCAAGTCTTGCCATAGATTTTCAAGTAGATTTAAGTCAAAACTGTAACTCTGAAACATTCACTGTCTTATTGTTAAGCAACTCCAGTGTATATTTGGCCTTGTGTTCTTAGGTTATTGTCCTGCTGAAAGGTGAATTAATCTCCCAGTGTCTGGTGGAAAGCAGACTGAACCAGGTTTTTCCTCCAGGATTTTGCCTGTGCTTAGCTCCATTCCATTTATTTTTTTATCCTGAAAAAAAACTCACCGGTCCTTAACAATTACAAGCAATACCCATAACATGATGCAGCCACCACTATGCTTGAAAATATGGAGAGTGGTACTCTGTAATGTGTTTTATTGTGGGGAAAAGGTGTATTGCTTTGCCACATGTTTTACAGTATTACTTTAATGCCTTGTTATAATCAGGATGCATGTTTTGGAATATTTAGATTCTGTACAGGCTTCCTTCTTTTCACTCTGTAATTTAGGTTAGTATTGTGGAGTAACTGCAATGTTGTTGATCCATCCTCAGTTCTCTCCTATCACAGCCATTCAACTCACTAACTGTTTAAAAGTCACCATTGGCCTCATGGTGAAATCCCTGAGCGGTTTCCTTCCTCTCCGGCAACTGAGTTAGGAAGGACACCTGTATCTTTGTAGTGACTGGGTGTATTGATACACCATCTAAAGTGTAATTAATAACTTCACCATGCTCAAAGGGATGTTTAATGTCTGCTTTTTTCATGTTTACCCATTTACCAATCGGTGCCCTTCTTTGCGAGGCATTGGAAAACCTCCCTGGTCTTTGTGGTTGAATCTGTGTTTGAAATTCACTGCTTGACCGAGGGGCCTTACAGATAATTGTACATAGTGTACAAAATATTGAGTTGAGCCACCTTTTACCCTCAGTACAGCCTCAATTCGTCGGGGGCATGAACTCTACTAGAGTCAAAAGCGTTCCACAGGGACGCTGGCCCATGTTGACTCCAATGCTTCCCACAGTTGTGTCAAGTTGGCTGGATGTCCTTTGGGTGGTGGACCGTTCTTGATACACACAGGAAACCGTTGAGCGTGAAAAATCTAGTGAACAGGGCTTCTGAATCTAGTGCACCTACCACCAACAGGGCTTCTAAATCTAGTGAACAGGGCTTCTGAATCTAGTGCACCTACCACCAACAGGGCTTCTGAATCTAGTGAACAGGGCTTCTGAATCTAGTGAACCTACCACCAACAGGGCTTCTGAATCTAGTGAACCTACCGCCAACAGGGCTTCTGAATCTAGTGAACCTACCGCCAACAGGGCTTCTGAATCTAGTGAACCCACCGCCAACAGGGCTTCTGAATCTAGTGAACCTACCGCCAACAGGGCTTCTGAATCTAGTGAACCTACCGCCAACAGGGCTTCTGAATCTAGTGAACCCACCGCCAACAGGGCTTCTGAATCTAGTGAACCCACCGCCAACAGGGCTTCTGAATCTAGTGAACCTACCACCAACAGGGCTTCTGAATCTAGTGAACCCACCGCCAACAGGGCTTCTGAATCTAGTTAACCTACCGCCAACAGGGCTTCTGAATCTAGTGAACCTACCACCAACAGGGCTTCTGAATCTAGTGAACCCACCGCCAACAGGGCTTCTGAATCTAGTGAACCTACCACCAACAGGGCTTCTGAATCAAGTGAACCTACCACCAACAGGGCTTCTGAATCTAGTGAACCCACCGCCAACAGGGCTTCTGAATCTAGTGAACCTACCACCAACAGGGCTTCTGAATCTAGTGAACAGGGCTTCTGAATCTAGTGAACCTACCACCAACAGGGCTTCTGAATCTAGTGAACAGGGCTTCTGAATCTAGTGAACCGGGCTTCTGAATCTAGTGAACCGGGCTTCTGAATCTAGTGAACCTACCACCAACAGGGCTTCTGAATCTAGTGAACAGGGCTTCTGAATCTAGTGAACAGGGCTTCTGAATCTAGTGAACAGGGCTTCTGAATCTAGTGAACAGGGCTTCTGAATCTAGTGAACCTACCACCAACAGCACAACACCAATTATATTAAAAAGGAGCTCAAGCCTTTATCATTGGCTTATCCACAGAAATGTTTGGTGATCGACTAGTAATGCCTTGTAGATCGACCGGTCGATCGCCCGGTTGGTGACCACTGCCCCGAGAGGCACCAAAACGTAAGAACATTTTGAAGATTGTTCCAGAAATAAGAATTGGAATTTCCAGAGTTAGCCATCCCTTAGACCTGGTGTGGTAACTCATATTTCTAAAGTTGAGTAATGATGTTAAAAGTAGTGGGACTTTTTGTAAAAAAAAAAAAAAAAAAAGGCCTTTCTAAATGAAAACAAAGCAATGTATCAACCTACGTGACCTCAGAGGGCCAACCAACTTCCTGTTAGAGAACGCAGTAATTAATACTAAACCTGTCGCCCGTATTAAAGTGCAGAGCTCCGTGATAAACTGCATCTGACGGCGTTAATGAAGTGGCAGCTGCGTTCATATAGATGACGTCGTCATAGTCTAGGACCGGTAGGAAACGTCGACTGAATAATCTGCTTCCTACTATTTAGCGAGAGGCATTACACCTATTTTAACCCTCAGCTTCTTAACCAACTCCTCAATATGCTTTGGAGGAGACTGTCATAAAGACTACAAAGAGAGAGAGAGGAGCGGTGGAGGAGACTGTCATAAAGGCTACAGAGAGAGAGAGGAGCGGTGGAGGAGACTGTCATAAAGGCTACAGAGAGAGAGAGGAGCGGTGGAGGAGACTGTCATAAAGACTACAAAGAGAGAGAGGAGCGGTGGAGGAGACTGTCATAAAGACTACAAAGAGAGAGAGAGGAGGAGGAAGAGGAAGAGGAGGAAGAGGAGTACCAGAGAGGAGAGAGGAGCGGTGGAGGAGACTGTCATAAAGACTACAAAGAGAGAGAGAGGAGCGGTGGAGGAGACTGTCATAAAGACTACAAAGAGAGAGAGAGGACCGGTGGAGGAGACTGTCATAAAGACTACCCAAGGGAGAGAGAGGAGGCGGTAGGGAGGAGGCTGTCCATAAAGGACGTACAAAGACGAGAGAGAGTGAGCGGTGGAGGAGGGACTGTCATAAAGAACTACAAAGAGAGTAGACGAGGAGCGGCTGGAGGAGACTGTCCATAAAGGGCCTTACAACGAGAGAGAGAGGGAGTCGGTGTTGGAGGAGGCTGTCATAAGTACTACAAAGAGATAGAGAGGAGGTAGACTGGTCATAAAGAACTACAACCGAGAGAGTAGTAGGAGGAGGACTGTCATAAAGACTACAAAAGATGAGAGAGAGGAGTCGGTGGAGGAGGAACTGTCATAAAGACTACAAAGAGAGAGAGAGGAGCGGGTGGAGGTAGACATGTCATAAAGACTAACAAAGAGAGAGAGAGGAGCGGTGGAGGAGACTGTCAATAAAGGACTACCAAAGGAGAGAGAGGAGGACCGGTGGACGGATACTGTGTCATAAAGACTACAAAGAGAGAGAGAGGAGCGGTGGAGGAGACTGTCATAAAGACTACAAAGAGAGAGAGAGGACCGGTGGAGGAGACTGTCATAAAGACTACAAAGAGAGAGAGAGGAGCGGTGGAGGAGACTGTCATAAAGACTACAAAGAGAGAGAGGAGCGGTGGAGGAGACTGTCATAAAGACTACAAAGAGAGAGAGAGGAGCGGTGGAGGAGACTGTCATAAAGACTACAAAGAGAGAGAGAGGAGCGGTGGAGGAGGCTGTCATAAAGACTACAAAGAGAGAGAGGAGCGGTGGAGGAGACTGTCATAAAGGCTACTTAAGGAGTGTGTTAGATAGAGGATGAGGAGGAGGAGGAGGAAGAGGAGTACCAGAGAGGAGAGAGGAGCGGTGGAGGCTGTCAAACTCTGACAGGTCTTCTCTGGACGTACCGTTGGACGAACTGAACAGGTCAAAACTACCTGCTGGGGGGAACACACACACACACACACACACACAAAGACACACACACACACACACAGACAGCAGGGTTAATGTTTCCAGTGTCTTGTGAGCAGTTGTGTATCTGTGTGGAGGTCTGCAGATCTTGGTGGGTGTATGTGTTCCCTTTGTGTGTGTGTGTGTGTGTGTGTGTGTGTGTGTGTGTGTGTGTGTGTGTCAGGGTTTCCGTCAGGAGAATGTGGCGCTTGACATTTGACCGGAAGTATTTTAAATTTACCGGACATTTGAGAAATCTGCCGGACCCATATGCCTTGTGTGTGTAAACCTGATTAGGGTGTCCACCCACGGTGATCAGAATGACAGAAATCACATTCAGATTATGGTAAATTCATCTGGTCAGAACATGCAACTCCAGGATGCAACGACGTGCGGTCCGGTCCCCCCCTTCTTACCGAATTCCCGACGCGCACTTTGAAGATTTCAGAATAACTGTCCACATTTTACAGTTCCTCCGCCAACAAGACGAGTAACGAACAGCAAAGTCACCAGTCTGCCAATCTCCTATCCGCCGGAGTAGAAACGTTGACCTATTCTATTGGTCAGCTTGTCGAGAAAGAAATAGCTTTATTCCAAACAGACTCTGGGGACAGTTGTGGGACGAAGGATCCCAAATTCATACAACCAGTACATTAAAAAGCAATGAATCTGATGCAACAGATCAGAACGTAGCTCAGTTGGTAGAGCACGGCGCTTGTAACGCCAGGGTAGTGGGTTCGATCCCCGGGACCACCCATACGTAAAAAATGTATGCGCACATGACTGTAAGTCGCTTTGGATAAAAGCGTCTGCTAAATGGCATATTCATTTTTTTTATTTTTATGAATTTAACGTTTAGTTTAGAATGTTGATCAACTATTCTTTTTCCACATTATAAGCGCAGCAATGCGCATACGGCAGTAGGCTACACACGAACGTTTGTCCCATAATGCAATTAGCGGGAAAACACTTGTGACAGAAAATCTCAGTTCTAAAAACTTAGAAAGAGGGAGAATGTAAAGATGCAGCAACTAGGATGGGGTTGCTAATACGATTATGATTGGGCCTTTGGCTTCTGGGACAACGAAATAAAGTTGATTTGAAAACCAATAGAACAGGAGAAAAATGCTAGTTTCAATGGCATATGAGGAAGTATTTATAAAAAATAAATCTATGGTTGGATTTTGGCTATAGGCTACTTTCAAGGTAAGACATGCCTCATTATATCAAGTAAAACGTCCAGGTTTCAAACAATTAAAGTTTATGTTTTCCAAATCTATACCGTCTCCAGCTCACATTGCAAAGTGGTGGGTGACGCGCTGATAGCCTGCCGGCCGTTCCCTATACACTCGAATGGTGAATGGGGAGGCGTTTCCAAATCTATACCGTCTCCAGCTCACATTGCAAAGTGGTGGGTGACGCGCTGATAGCCTGCCGGCCGTTGCCTATACACTCGAATGGTGAATGGTGAGGCGCGCTTCAATTACCAGTTGAGAAATAGAAATAGTAGCTTTTTATTTTATTTTTTTATCGTGTCCATCAAGAGTGTTTTTAACAAGTGATTGCATTTAGAATTGTTTGCGCATTGATTGGGCTTCTAAAAGCACGTTTCATATGGATGGATGGATGGATGGATGGATGGACGGACGGACGGACGGACGGACGGACGGACGGACGGACGGACGGATGGATGAAGCTGATCTACCGCCTAAAAATCAAAATGGTGATGGTGTATATAGTTCATATCAGGGTGGTGCAAATAAATTCATTGACAGATGCCCTGTTCACGCTAGGCTGAGTCTGTACGCCTGTGGTAAATAACACACGTAACGACTAACCAAAATACACACGCCCTGTTCACGCCAGGCTGAGTCTGTACGCCTGTGGTAAATAACACACGCAACGACTAACCAAAATACACACGCCCTGTTCACGCCAGGCTGAGTCTGTACGCCTGTGGTAAATAACACACGGAACGACTAACCAAAATACACACGCCCTGTTCACGCCAGGCTGGGTCTGGACGCCTGTGGTAAATAACACACGGAACGACTAACCAAAATACACACGCCCTGTTCACGCCAGGCTGGGTCTGGACGCCTGTGGTAAATAACACACGGAACGACTAACCGAAATACACACGCCCTGTTCACGCCAGGCTGAGTCTGTACGCCTGTGGTAAATAACACACGGAACGACTAACCAAAATACACACGCCCTGTTCACGCCAGGCTGAGTCTGTACGCCTGTGGTAAATAACACACGGAACGACTAACCAAAATACACACGCCCTGTTCACGCCAGGCTGAGTCTGTACGCCTGTGGTAAATAACACACGGAACGACTAACCGAAATACACACGCCCTGTTCACGCCAGGCTGAGTCTGTACGCCTGTGGTAAATAACACACACAACGACTAACCAAAATACACACGCCCTGTTCACGCTAGGCTGTGTCTGTACGCCTGTGGTAAATAACACACGTAACGACTAACCAAAATACACACGCCCTGTTCACGCTAGGCTGTGTCTGTACGCCTGTGGTAAATAACACACGGAACGACTAACCAAAATACACACGCCCTGTTCACGCTAGGCTGTGTCTGTACGCCTGTGGTAAATAACACACGGAACGACTAACCAAAATACACACGCCCTGTTCACGCCAGGCTGAGTCTGTACGCCTGTGGTAAATAACACACGCAACGACTAACCAAAATACACACGCCCTGTTCACGCTAGGCTGTGTCTGTACGCCTGTGGTAAATAACACACGGAACGACTAACCAAAATACACACGCCCTGTTCACGCCAGGCTGGGTCTGTACGCCTGTGGTAAATAACACACGGAACGACTAACCAAAATACACACGCCCTGTTCACGCTAGGCTGTGTCTGTACGCCTGTGGTAAATAACACACGGAACGACTAACCAAAATACACACGCCCTGTTCACGCCAGGCTGGGTCTGGACGCCTGTGGTAAATAACACACGGAACGACTAACCAAAATACACACGCCCTGTTCACGCTAGGCTGTGTCTGTACGCCTGTGGTAAATAACACACACAACGACTAACCAAAATACACACGCCCTGTTCACGCCAGGCTGAGTCTGTACGCCTGTGGTAAATAACACACGGAACGACTAACCGAAATACACACGCCCTGTTCACGCCAGGCTGAGTCTGTACGCCTGTGGTAAATAACACACGGAACGACTAACCGAAATACACACGCCCTGTTCACGCTAGGCTGTGTCTGTACGCCTGTGGTAAATAACACACGGAACGACTAACCGAAATACACACGCAGCCGTTTCATTCCACTAAATAAATGCCAATTAACCTATAGAGCGGTCAACATGGGGTTACATCGACTGGTATTTCCATCAATGAATATGCTGAAAAGCATTGTTTTGCAAATGGGATGTTTTTTTTCTCCCGGACTATTGGCCGCTGCAAATGTTATTTAATCGGCTTTTCATGATTATTATTATTACTATTATTATTATTACTATTACTACTATTATTACTACTACTACTACTATTATTATTACTGCTATTATTACTACTATTATTACTACTGCTATTACTACTGCTATTATTACTGCTATTATTACTACTATTATTACTACTATTATTACTACTACTACTATTATTATTATTGCTGCTATTATTACTACTATTATTACTACTATTATTACTACTATTATTACTACTATTATTACTACTACTATTATTATTACTGCTATTATTACTACTATTATTACTACTGCTATTATTACTACTATTATTACTACTACTACTATTATTATTACTGCTATTATTACTACTATTATTACTACTGCTATTATTATTATTATTGTTATTATTACTATTATTATTACTATTATTGTTATTATTATTGTTGTTATTATATTTTGCCAAAGCCAGCTATTACCGGCTAACTAAACCCTGGTGTACCTGTGTTGGAGGTCTTGGGCATTGTGCCTCCAGAGCCCCAGGGGTCAGGAGCAGGGTTGGTTCCCCAGGGATCACTGCTCTTCATGGGGGGAACAGAGGAGGACGGGGGACCCCACGGATCTACTGGAGCCACTGGCTTTGGGGCTGCACCTGGACGGACACACACACCACACACCATACAAAATGAGTTAACCCAGATAAAATAAGTAGACAGATGAAAAGTCATTCCTGCTGGTTGTCTGTCACATTGCTTTGACCTCGTTTTCAGATCAGTACCGCTCTAGACTACTAAGATACATCCTCCTCTCCCTCTGTCCTCCTCCCGCTCCACTCTCCCTCTGTCCTCCTCCCGCTCCACTCTCCCTCTGTCCTCCTCCCGCTCCACTCTCCCTCTGTCCTCCTCCCGCTCCACTCTCCCTCTGTCCTCCTCCCGCTCCACTCTCCCTCTGTCCTCCTCCCGCTCCACTCTCCCTCTGTCCTCCTCCCGCTCCACTCTCCCTCTGTCCTCCTCCCGCTCCACTCTCCCTCTGTCCTCCTCCCGCTCCACTCTCCCTCTGTCCTCCTCCCGCTCCACCCTCCCTCTGTCCTCCTCCCGCTCCACTCTCCCTCTGTCCTCCTCCCGCTCCACTCTCCCTCTGTCCCCCTCCCGCTCCACTCTCCCTCTGTCCTCCTCCCGCTCCACTCTCCCTCTGTCCTCCTCCCGCTCCACTCTCCCTCTGTCCTCCTCCCGCTCCACTCTCCCTCTGTCCTCCTCCCGCTCCACTCTCCCTCTGTCCTCCTCCCGCTCCACTCTCCCTCTGTCCCCCTTACAGACTCACACTGGACAGTTCCTGTCCCCTTTACGCTGTCAAACCCACTGGACAGTTCCTGTCCCCCCTTTATGCTGTCAAACCCACTGGACAGTTCCTGTCCCCCTTTACACTGTCAAACCCACTGGACAGTTCCTGTCCCCTTTACGCTGTCAAACCCACTGGACAGTTCCTGTCCCCCCTTTACACTGTCAAACCCACTGGACAGTTCCTGTCCCCTTTACACTGTCAAACCCACTGGACAGTTCCTGTCCCCCCTTTACGCTGTCAAACCCACTGGACAGTTCCTGTCCCCTTTACACTGTCAAACCCACTGGACAGTTCCTGTCCCCCCTTTACACTGTCAAACCCACTGGACAGTTCCTGTCCCCTTTATGCTGTCAAACCCACTGGACAGTTCCTGTCCCCCCTTTACACTGTCAAACCCACTGGACAGTTCCTGTCCCCTTTACACTGTCAAACCCACTGGACAGTTCCTGTCCCCCCTTTACACTGTCAAACCCACTGGACAGTTCCTGTCCCCTTTACACTGTCAAACCCACTGGACAGTTCCTGTCCCCTTTACACTGTCAAACCCACTGGACAGTTCCTGTCCCCCCTTTACACTGTCAAACCCACTGGACAGTTCCTGTCCCCCCTTTACACTGTCAAACCCACTGGACAGTTCCTGTCCCCCCTTTATGCTGTCAAACCCACTGGACAGTTCCTGTCCCCTTTACACTGTCAAACCCACTGGACAGTTCCTGTCCCCTTTACACTGTCAAACCCACTGGACAGTTCCTGTCCCCCCTTTACGCTGTCAAACCCACTGGACAGTTCCTGTCCCCTTTACACTGTCAAACCCACTGGACAGTTCCTGTCCCCCCTTTACACTGTCAAACCCACTGGACAGTTCCTGTCCCCCCTTTACACTGTCAAACCCACTGGACAGTTCCTGTCCCCCCTTTATGCTGTCAAACCCACTGGACAGTTCCTGTCCCCCCTTTATGCTGTCAAACCCACTGGACAGTTCCTGTCCCCCCTTTACACTGTCAAACCCACTGGACAGTTCCTGTCCCCTTTACACTGTCAAACCCACTGGACAGTTCCTGTCCCCCTTTACACTGTCAAACCCACTGGACAGTTCCTGTCCCCTTTACACTGTCAAACCCACTGGACAGTTCCTGTCCCCTTTACACTGTCAAACCCACTGGACAGTTCCTGTCCCCCCTTTACACTGTCAAACCCACTGGACAGTTCCTGTCCCCTTTACTACACTGTCCAAACCCACTGGACAGTTCCTGTCCCCCTTTACACTGTCAAACCCACTGGACAGTTCCTGTCCCACTTTACACTGTCAAACCCACTGGACAGTTCCTGTCCCCCCTTTACACTGTCAAACCCACTGGACAGTTCCTGTCCCCTTTACACTGTCAAACCCACTGGACAGTTCCTGTCCCCTTTACACTGTCAAACCCACTGGACAGTTCCTGTCCCCCCTTTACACTGTCAAACCCACTGGACAGTTCCTGTCCCCTTTACACTGTCAAACCCACTGGACAGTTCCTGTCCCCCTTTACACTGTCAAACCCACTGGACAGTTCCTGTCCCCTTTACACTGTCAAACCCACTGGACAGTTCCTGTCCCCCCTTTACACTGTCAAACCCACTGGACAGTTCCTGTCCCCTTTACACTGTCAAACCCACTGGACAGTTCCTGTCCCCTTTACACTGTCAAACCCACTGGACAGTTCCTGTCCCCTTTACGCTGTCAAACCCACTGGACAGTTCCTGTCCCCTTATGCTGTCAAACCCACTGGCCGTGTCCCAAATCTGTCTTGTCTACCACTTACTAAAACTACATACTGTGTACTAATCATACTAAACTGATGATGATTATTATTGAACGCACTGTTCAGTAAAAACTAATATCCACATACTACTCATCCATACTGAGAATGCCTCATCGAAATGCAATTGCGTTGATTCCTGCCATTCGTTCATTTTTGGTACGGCGCCTCCCCTGATCTGATTATCAGCCGTTGTCAAACATGTTGATCTCAAAAGATGATTCTCTTCCTAATTAGTGTGCAGTGAATTCTACCAGATGAAAAGCCCAAATGGAGTACGACATCCTGGCATTTAAAGCACTCCATTTTGTATTTATATTTTCACATCAACAAAATGCCTACTATTTAGAACGCAAGTACGAATATTGGGACACTGCTTCTAGTCTGTGTGTGAGTGAGTGAGTGAGTGAGTGAGTGAGTGAGTGAGTGAGTGAGTGAGTGAGTGAGTACCGTAGGCCTGCCAGGGGTGTGTGTGTGTATGTGAGTACCGTAGGCCTGCCAGGGGTGTGTGTGTGTGTGTGTGTGTGTGTATGTGAGTACCGTAGGCCTGCCAGGGGTGTGTGTGTGTATGTGAGTACCGTAGGCCTGCCAGGGGTGTGTGTGTGAGTACCGTAGGCCTGCCAGGGGTGTGTGTGTGTATGTGAGTACCGTAGGCCTGCCAGGGGTGTGTGTGTGAGAGTACCGTAGGCCTGCCAGGGGTGTGTGTGTGTGTATGCGAGTACCGTAGGCCTGCCAGGGGTGTGTGTGTGTGTGTGAGTACCGTAGGCCTGCCAGGGGTGTGTGTGTGTGTGTGAGTACCGTAGGCCTGCCAGGGGTGTGTGTGTGTGTGTGTGAGTACCGTAGGCCTGCCAGGGGTGTGTGTGTGTGTGTGTGAGTACCGTAGGCCTGCCAGGGGTGTGTGTGTGTGTGTGTGAGTACCGTAGGCCTGCCAGGGGTGTGTGTGTGTGGGTGTGTGTGTGTGTGTGTGTGAGTACCGTAGGCCTGCCAGGGGTGTGTGTGTGTGTGTGTGTGAGTACCGTAGGCCTGCCAGGGGTGTGTGTGTGTGTGTGTGTGTGTGTATGCGAGTACCGTAGGCCTGCCAGGGGTGTGGTGTGTTGTATGTGAGTACCGTAGGCCTGCCAGGTGTGTGTGTATGTGTGAGTACCGTAGGCCTGCCAGGGGTGTGTGTGTGTATGTGAGTACCGTAGGCCTGCCAGGGGTGTGTGTGTGTGTATGCGAGTACCGTAGGCCTGCCAGGGTGTGTGTGTGTGTATGTGAGTACCGTAGGCCTGCCAGGGGTGTGTGTGTGTATGTGAGTACCGTAGGCCTGCCAGGGGTGTGTGTGTGTATGTGGTGTGTGTGTGTGTGTGTGTGTGTGTGTGAGTACCGTAGGCCTGCCAGGGGGGTGTGTGTGTGTGTGGGAGGGGTGTGTGTGTGTGTGATGTGAGTACCGTAGGCCTGCCAGGGGTGTGTGTGTGTGTGTGTGTGAGTACCGTAGGCCTGCCAGGGGTGTGTGTGTGTGTGTGTGTGTGAGTACCGTAGGCCTGCCAGGGGTGTGTGTGTGTGTGTGTGTGTGAGTACTGTAGGCCTGCCAGGGGTGTGTGTGTGTGTGTGTGTGTGTGTGTGTGAGTACCATAGGCCTGCCAGGGGTGTGTGTGTGTGTGTGTATGTGGTGTGTGTGTGAGTACCGTAGGCCTGCCAGGGGTGTGTGTGTGTGTGAGTACCGTAGGCCTGCCAGGGGTGTGTGTGTGTGTGTGAGTACCGTAGGCCTTCCAGGGGTGTGTGTGTGTGTGTGTGAGTACCGTAGGCCTTCCAGGGGTGTGTGTGTGAGTACCGTAGGCCTTCCAGGGGTGTGTGTGTGTATGTGTGAGTACCGTAGGCCTGCCAGGGGTCAGGTGCAGCAGCTCCTCTTGCCCCCCAGGGGTCGGCTGAACCCCTCTCTGGAACATCCATCAGATCCAGAAGGGAGGACTGGGGCTGCTGTGGGGGGGGGGAGCACCAAAAGTCATCCAATCCAGCGCAAGATGATAGAATAACTGTCCACATTTACTGTTCCTCAGCCAAGACGCTGCCTATTCCAAACAGACAGACTGTTTGTTCCATAATGAAATTAGCGGGGAAGGGGGGGCGGGGGGAGGGCACGTTGTTTAGAAAAAGGCACTGCACATGCGAGCCGTTTCCTGACAGACGGAAATATCTGTTAGAAAGAAAGGGGGAGATCTAAAGATGCAACAACTAGCGTGGGGGTTGCTAATATGACTAGGATTGGGCATTTTGGCTACCGGACAAATGAAAGAAAGTTGAAAACCAATAGAACGTGAGAGAAACAGGATGCTGGTTTCAAAACGGCACATGAGGAAGTCTTTATAAAATAATGTGCCTGAAACGTTTCCATGGTTGGATTTGTGGCTATAGGCTACTTTAGAAGCATGGTAAGACACACCTCATAATATGAGGTAAAACGGTCAGGTTTCAAAACAAACCAAGTACATGTTTTCAAAATGCACACGGTCTCCGGATCACTGCAACGTGACGCGATGTTACTGAAGCCTGCCGAGTTGCCCTATACACTTGGACGGCGAATGGGAAGCGCGCTTCAATTACCAGTAGCTCTTTTTTTTTTTTTTTTTTATACGCGATTAACATTTTTAGAAATTGTTGCGCAATGACTGGGCTTTTTATAAAAAACACGTTTTTAACTCCAGCAGCAACGGCTGGTTGATGAGATGTAAATCTCTCACGCTACATCGACTGGTATTTAAAAAAAAAAATCAATGAAACGGCTAAAATACATTATTTCGAATGGGGATTATTATTTTTATTTTTTCTTCTCCTGGACAATTGGCCGGCACCCGTTTTTATTTAAATCGGCTTTGAAACCCTGACACACAGGGGACAAAAAAACAACAGCCCTAATGAGAGAAACAGTCAGCCCAGAAGAAGTCTTATGAGGGTCGGTCAATCAGCCATCCATCACCTTTCGAGAAAAACAGACTACAACAACCTACAGCCGTACCATTGGAAACACTGAGATAGCCAAGCCCCTCTGTCGGTGTGTCTGTGTGTCTGTGTGTGTGTGTGTACCTCTCTCTTCTTCTTCGCTAGTTTTCCAGAGCCGGTATCACCGAGGGCTTTTCCTTTACGACTCTCCTCTAGCGCCATCTGGAGTCTCAGGTCATCTCCCCGACGCATCCTCTCCTCCTACGCACAGAGAGAAAGGTAGAAAGGTACAGAGAGATTAACCTAGAGAGGAGTCCCCCTGAGCAAGGTGACAGACAGACAGAGGGAGACAGGGAACAGTCTCTAAAAGACGTGTTGATGAAGTGTTGACCACAGAGAGATTAACCTAGAGAGGAGTCCCCCTGAGCAAGGTGACAGACAGACAGAGGGAGACAGGGAACAGTCTCTAAAAGACGTGTTGATGAAGTGTTGACCACAGAGAGATTAACCTAGAGAGGAGTCCCCCTGAGCAAGGTGACAGACAGACAGAGGGAGACAGGGAACAGTCTCTAAAAGACGTGTTGACCACAGAGAGATTAACCTAGAGAGGAGTCCCCCTGAGCAAGGTGACAGACAGACAGAGGGAGACAGGGAACAGTCTCTAAAAGACGTGTTGACCACAGAGAGATTAACCTAGAGAGGAGTCCCCCTGAGCAAGGTGACAGACAGAGGGAGACAGGGAACAGTCTCTAAAAGACGTGTTGAAGTGTTGACCACAGAGAGATTAACCTAGAGAGGAGTCCCCCTGAGCAAGCTGACAGACAGAGGGAGACAGGGAACAGTCTCTAAAAGACGTGTTGAAGAAGTGTTGACCACAGAGAGATTAACCTAGAGAGGAGTCCCCCTGAGCAAGGTGACAGACAGACAGAGGGAGACAGGGAACAGTCTCTAAAAGACGTGTTGAAGTGTTGACCACCGAGAGATTAACCTAGAGAGGAGTCCCCCTGAGCAAGGTGACAGACAGACAGAGGGAGACAGAGAACAGTCTCTAAAAGACGTGTTGAAGAAGTGTTGACCACAGAGAGATTAACCTAGAGAGGAGTCCCCCTGAGCAAGGTGACAGACAGAGGGAGACAGGGAACAGTCTCTAAAAGACGTGTTGAAGAAGTGTTGACCACAGAGAGATTAACCTAGAGAGGAGTCCCCCTGAGCAAGGTGACAGACAGACAGAGGGAGACAGGGAACAGTCTCTAAAAGACGTGTTGACCACAGAGAGATTAACCTAGAGAGGAGTCCCCCTGAGCAAGGTGACAGACAGACAGAGGGAGACAGGGAACAGTCTCTAAAAGACGTGTTGACCACCGAGAGATTAACCTAGAGAGGAGTCCCCCTGAGCAAGCTGACAGACAGACAGAGGGAGACAGAGAACAGTCTCTAAAAGACGTGTTGAAGTGTTGACCACCGAGAGATTAACCTAGAGAGGAGTCCCCCTGAGCAAGCTGACAGACAGACAGAGGAAGTGTTGACCACCGAACAGATGACGGGCGTGGCCGTGGCGTGCGTACCTGTTCTGCAGCCTCTCTGCTCATGGCCAGGGCCAGCTGGAGCTGGAGCTCCTCCTCTCCGCTGGTCTGAGGGCGGGCCTGCTCCAACTCTGAGCCTGGAACCGGGGACGTGGCTACACACACACACACACACACACACACCACACACACACACACACACACACACACACACACACACACACACACACACACACGTTAGACATGCCTCAGCAGAACTGACTGACACACTGCAGTACTAGACCAGAGAGAGATCAGTTAGAAGACATTCATTACTGCTAAAATAGACAAGAGAGACTGGTGTGTGTTTTTGAGGCCCTATGGCAAAGCCAGTAGAGGAGAACGCGTCACTTTAGTTTTTATTGGATCAGGGCGACGGGGCACACTGAGACGGGAGCCGCTTGTGTGAGGCTGTTGGCTGGAAACAGTGAGTGTGTTGTTTCCGTGGGAACTGAGGCGTGGGCGGGAGTAGATGACACAGCACAGTCGGGGACTGATGACATCGTACATCTCTACTCTGTCTGCGTCTTTCTGTCTGTCTGTCTGTCTGTCTGGCTCCCTCTCCCCCCTTTTACCCCCCCCTTCTCTCACTCTTTGCCCCCCCTCTCTCACTGTTTGCCCCCCCCCCCTCTCTCACTCTTTGCCCCCCCCCTCTCTCACTCTTTGCCCCCACCTCTCTCACTCTTTGCCCCCCCCCTCTCTCACTCTTTGCCCCCCCTCTCTCACTCTTTGCCCCCCTCTGTATGTCCTTGAACCAATTATTTTATTTTAAAATCGCACACAGAAGTTGTTAAAGGCTAATTTAGTGGTTAATGGCAGCCTGCAGTACCCCGGTCGGCCTTCAACTTGAGTTACTTAATGAGAGGGGGCAGCACTGAGCTGGCCACCAACGTCACTTCCTGGAGTAGCTCAAAACTGCTCATGTTATGTCTCCATGAGACGCCATCTTTAACCGACTTCACTTGGCTTCAATACACTGTTGAGTCTTCACATAGGAATGAATGGTGTCACGTGATCAATGAATGGTGTCAGGTGATCGATGGCTTTGTCCATTCGAATATACAGTCATTTGGACAAAGCCATCAGGAAGCCGCTACAAACACAAGGTAGCCTAGGTGTCTGTACAGTCCAAGGTTTAACCCAGCTCTAAACCAGACCTACTCCTAGTCAGAGAGACAGACTACAGCTCTAAACCAGACCTACTCCTAGTCAGTCAGAGAGACAGACTACAGCTCTAAACCAGACCTACTCCTAGTCAGTCAGAGAGACAGACTACAGCTCTAAACCAGACCTACTCCTAGTCAGTCAGAGAGACAGACTACAGCTCTAAACCAGACCTACTCCTAGTCAGAGAGACAGACTACAGCTCTAAACCAGACCTACTCCTAGTCAGAGAGACAGACTACAGCTCTAAACCAGACCTACTCCCAGTCAGTCAGAGAGACAGACTACAGCTCTAAACCAGACCTACTCCTAGTCAGAGAGACAGACTACAGCTCTAAACCAGACCTACTCCTAGTCAGTCAGACAGACTACAGCTCTAAACCAGACCTACTCCTAGTCAGAGAGACAGACTACAGCTCTAAACCAAAACCTACTCCTAGTCAGTCAGGAGACAGACTACAGCTCTAAACCAGACCTACTCCTGTCAGTCAGAGAGACAGACCTACAGCTCTAAAACCAGACCTACTCCCAGTCAGTCAGAGAGACAGACTACAGCTCTAAACCAGACCTACTCCCAGTCAGTCAGAAGAGACAGACTACAGCTCTAAACCAGACCTACTCTAGTCAGTCAGAGATACAGACTACAGCTCTAAACCAGACCTCTCCTAGTCAGTCAGAGAGACAGACTACAGCTCTAAACCAGACCTACTCCCAGTCAGTCAGAGAGACAGACTACAGCTCTAAACCAGACCTACTCCTAGTCTCAGAGAGACAGACTACAGCTCTAAACCAGACCTACTCCTAGGCAGGCAGAGAGACAGACTACAGCTCTAAACCCAGACCTACTCCTAGTCAGTAGAGACAGACTACAGCTCTAAACCAGACCTACTCCTAGTCAGTCAGAGACGGACAGACTACAGCCTAAACCAGACCTACTCCTAGTCAGTCAGAGAGACAGGACCTACAGCTCTAAACCCAGACCTACTCCTAGTCAGTAAGAGAGAACAGACTACAGCTCTAAACCAGACCTACTCCTAGTCAGTTCAGAGAGGACATACTACCACAGCTCTAACCACCAGACCTACTACTCCTAGTCAGTAAGAGAGCAGATCTACAGCTCATAAACCAGACCTACTCCTAGTCAGAGAGACAGAGCTAACAGCTCTAAACCCAGACCTACTCACTAGTCAGTCAGAAGAGACAGACTACAGTCTCTAAAACCAGACCTACTCCTAGTCAGAGAGACAGACTACAGCTCTTAAAACCAGACCTACTCCCAGTCAGTCAGAGAGAACAGACTACAGCTCTAAAACCCAGACCTACTCCATAGTTCAGTCAGAGAGACAAGGACTACAGCTCTAAAGACCTACTCCCGCAGTCAGAGGAGACAGACTACAGCCTAAAACCAGACTACTCTAGTCAGAGAGACAGACTACAGCTCTAAACCAGACCTACTCCCAGTCAGAGAGACAGACTACAGCTCTAAACCAGACCTACTCCTAGTCAGAGAGACAGACTACAGCTCTAAACCAGACCTACTCCTAGTCAGAGAGACAGACTACAGCTCTAAACCAGACCTACTCCTAGTCAGAGAGACAGACTACAGCTCTAAAACCAGACCTACTCCTAGTCAGAGAGACAGACTACAGCTCTAAAACCAGACCTACTCCCGTCAGTCAGAGAGACAGACTACAGCTCTAAACCAGACCTACTCCTAGTCAGAGAGACAGACTACAGCTCTAAACCAGACCTACTCCTAGTCAGAGAGACAGACTACAGCTCTAAACCAGACCTACTCCTAGTCAGAGAGACAGACTACAGCTCTAAACCAGACCTACTCCTAGTCGTCAGAGAGACAGACTACAGCTCTAAACCAGACCTACTCCTAGTCAGAGAGACAGACTACAGCTCTAAACCAGAACCTACTCCTAGTCAGTCAGAGAGACAGACTACAGCTCTAAACCAGACCTACTCCTAGTCAGAGACAGACTACAGCTCTAAACCAGACCTACTCCTAGTCAGAGAGACAGACTACAGCTCTAAAACCAGAACCTACTCCTAGTCAGTCAGAGAGACAAACTACAGCTCTAAACCAGACCTACTCCTAGTCAGTCAGAGAGACAGACTACAGCTCTAAACCAGACCTACTCCTAGTCAGTCAGAGAGACAGACTACAGCTCTAAACCAGACCTACTCCTAGTCAGTCAGAGAGACAGACTACAGCTCTAAACCAGACCTACTCCTAGTCAGTCAGAGAGACAGACTACAGCTCTAAACCAGACCTACTCCTAGTCAGTCAGAGAGACAGACTACAGCTCTAAACCAGACCTACTCCTAGTCAGTCAGAGAGACAGACTAACAGCTCTAAACCAGACCTACTCCTAGTCAGTCAGAGAGACAGACTACAGCTCTAAACCAGACCTACTCCTAGTCAGTCAGAGAGACAGACTACAGCTCTAAACCAGACCTACTCCTAGTCAGTCAGAGAGACAGACTACAGCTCTACACCCAGACCTACTCCTAGTCAGTCAGAGAGCAGACTACAGCTCTAAACCAGACCTACTCCTATCAGTCAGAGAGACAGACTACAGCTCTAAACCAGACCTACTCCTAGTCAGTCAGAGAGACAGACTAAGCTCTAAACCAGACCTACTCCTAGTCAGAGAGACAGACTACAGCTCTAAAACCAGACCTACTCCTAGTCAGTCAGAGAGACAGCCTACCGCTCTAAACCAGACCTACTCCTAGTCAGTCAGAGAGACGACTACAGCTCTAAACCAGACCTACTCCTAGTCAGTCAGAGAGACAGACTACAGCTCTAAACCAGACCTACTCCTAGTCAGTCAGAGAGACAGACTACAGCTCTAAACCAGACCTACTCCTAGTCAGTCAGAGAGACAGACTACAGCTCTAAACCAGACCTACTCCCAGTCAGTCAGGAGAGACAGACTACAAGCTCTAAACCAGACCTACTCTAGTCAGAGAGACAGACTACAGCTCTAAACCAGACCGACGCCCTAGTTCAAGTTCAGAGAGACGACGTACAGCCTTCTAAACCAACCTACTCCCAGTCAGTCAGAGAGACAGAACCACAAGCTCTAACCAGACCTACTCCTAGTCAGTCAGAGAGACAGACTTACAGCTCTAAAACCAGACCTACTCCTAGTCAGTCAGATGAGACAGACTACAGCGTAAACCAGACCTACTCCTAGTCAGAGAGACAGACTACAGCTCTAAACCAGACCTACTCCTAGTCAGAGAGACAGACTACAGCTCTAAACCAGACCTACTCCTAGTCCAGAGAGACAGACTACAGCTCTAAACCAGACCTACTCCTAGTCAGTCAGAGAACAGACTACAGCTCTAAACCAGACCTACTCCTAGTCAGTCAGAGAGACAGACTACAGCTTCTAAACCAGACCTACTCCTAGTCAGAGAGACAGACTACAGCTCTAAACCAGACCTACACCTAGTCAGTCAGAGAGACAGACTACAGACACAGAGTGAGATCCTACTGATGTGTAAATATAGCTACAGTATATATATCTCACAGTGCCACAGCTCAGGGTTGTGTGTATAACTGATGTGGAAGTACTAAAAAACAATGAAAAGGAAAAACCAAGGAGGCCGAGACGCTAAAAATAAACCTACACTCGAAAGAATAACTCGAAAGAATAACAAAATATGTTAATGAAAAGTGCTAAAAAAAAAAAAAGGTTCCTCCCACACACCTTCCATTGTAGCCTAAGTCCTGAGCACAGACCCTGACACTGGCCCTCTACTATAACTGATGTGACCCCTGGCCCTCTACTATAACTGATGTGACCCCTGACCCTGGCCCTCTACTATAACTGATGTGACCCCTGACCCTGGCCCTCTACTATAACTGATGTGACCCCTGACCCTGGCCCTCTACTATAACTGATGTGACCCCGACACTGGCCCTCTACTATAACTGATGTGACCCCTGACCCTGGCCCTCTACTATAACTGATGTGACCCCTGACCCTGGCCCTCTACTATAACTGATGTGACCCCTGACCCTGGCCCTCTACTATAACTGATGTGACCCCCTGGCCCTCTACTATAACTGATGTGACCCCTGACCCTGGCCCTCTACTATAACTGATGTGACCCCTGGCCCTGGCCTTCTACTATAACTGATGTGACCCCCGACACTGGCCCTCTACTATAACTGATGTGACCCCTGGCCCTCTACTATAACTGATGTGACCCCTGACCCTGGCCCTCTACTATAACTGATGTGACCCCCGACCCTGGCCCTCTACTATAACTGATGTGACCCCTGGCCCTCTACTATAACTGATGTGACCCCTGACCCTGGC